TATTTTTTAAAAGAAAAGAAAATATATTTACCACAGTTGTATTATTCCTTTTTATAAACTTTCCTATCATTATAAATGTTTACTCAGTCATCTTACTACCTGTTTATTTCATTTCTAGACAATCCAGATGAAATCATAAAAAAGTATCTTATGGCAAACGTTGAGACTACAGATCACTTTGCAAAACAGTAAACAAAAACTGTGTTACGATCAATTTTGATCATTCATTTACAATTATAAGTTTAACAATAGACAAGAATGGGTTTTATTCTTGACCGAAACTGATAACAGGGTATATATATATATATATATATATATACCCTGTTATCAGTTTCGGTCAAGAATAAAACCCATTCTTGTCTATTGTTAAACTTATAATTGTAAATGAATGATCAAAATTGATCGTAACACAGTTTTTGTTTACTGTTTTGCAAAGTGATCTGTAGTCTCAACGTTTGCCATAAGATACTTTTTTATGATTTCATATATATATATATATATATATATATATATATATATATATATATATATATATATATATATATATATATATATATATTCTATTTTAATATTCTACACTGTAATAGCTCAAATAGAAGTAGGCAATTCTAGGAATATTTTTGACCAATCAAAATATCACATATATCTGTTAAGTCATTTCTTTCCACCAATGATTGATATCGTTAAATAAATATTTAAGTATAATACAATGAATTGTAGCTTTGAAATTATTCTGATGTAAATGGTTGCTGGAAAATTGGTAGGTTAATTTTATTTGTAAATAATGGATGACTTTTGAGTAATGCTAAAGTGGCCTTGAGAATGTTCACCTACTGACTTAGGCTTTAAACTTGTGTAAAGGATAAGGATTGTGATTTACAGTTGATGGTTAGGGATAAGGATAAGGTTTAAGGTTTTCATCACGAACTGATATGAGCTTAAATGCCAAGACGCTATTTAGTCAAATAGATAAGGAATTTTGCGCCGAAATACACGAACTGCTTTTATCATAAATCTGGTTGGTTCGTTCATAAATTATAATCTCTCCAATAGTTTATTTTCCATAAATCATAAAATGTATTAAAAGATATGACTGATCAAAGGATTACATCCATACAATCCTCAAAGTAGGATTCTTTCACTGTTTGAATTTTATTTGGAAAAATTATACAAATTGAAACTTTTGGCACTTTGCAAGTAAAACCGGTTATCTAATCAGTAGTTCACTTTCATTAATACATGATTTTGATATGGTTTGAAAGTTCTTTTTCCTCTTAAATCCTTAATCAAAATAATAGAAAACGAAATTCATGGAAATAAGTTTTATGCGAATTAAATTTATTCCTTAATTTATCAGTATTGGTTGTTTAAATCTTCTCATTGATGTTTTGAACTGCTGTTAATTGGTTTCTATTTTGGCAATATATATATCCTGTACGAATGGCCTTGATCTTGTGACTAAGTCATAAACATTATAAGTAGAGATGGATGGTGGCTAGTAGTAGAGTACAGGAGGCGTGTTTTGTGTTATTCGTAATTCGTTGGCTGGATGCACATGCATCGCAAAGTTGTGTCCTGGATTTCATTGCTAACCACTATTCATTTCTGCCTAAAAATTATCGTTTATTTAATTTTATATGCGTAATGGAATACTAAAATGTAAAGCAAAATATAAATAAGTCGATGATCAGAAGATTTCAGATACAAACTTTCTTTAATCGTTTATAGCTAACTGACTATTGTTATGAATAGAAAGGGACTGGAAAGTTACTTAACAAAACAAAAAAGCCCACGAAAGCGTGTTTAACATGGTTTTAAATGTTGGTTTAAGGTTAAAAAGTGTATTGCTCATAATATCATCAGCGTTCCACTGTTTATTTTTACTCAAGTAGATTTTTGAATTAAAATAATATTAAAAATTCTTATTTAAATTGGCTAGAACTTTTTTTATAGCTAACCAGTTTAGTAATCTAGATAGTTAAAACTTATATGTATAGGGAATTTTACATCAAACCACTTAGATCTTTTGTAGTAAACTTCAACAAATTTCAAGCTTTTTAATTGTCAACCAACTTAGTTACTGTTCCTTTTAAAAACTCATCATAAATAATAGTGGGAAAGAAAAACATATCAAATTGATTTAAACTATTTTTAATGATTAAAAAACTTGTGCTTAATCGGTTAACACCGAATTTGATAAAACTATTAAACTTTGTGTTTTATTGAATTTATAGATTAAATGTACTCTTGTTTAGAGTAAATGGTATATCAGAAGTTCATAGCGAGTAACTATATATAGAGATGAAAGATAGTTTTAAGATTCTTATCAAGATCTATGATGACAGGTTCAGACGGATAATTTAAAACGGAATAATCAAAATTAAAGTAACTACATTTGTTTATTTATTACAAGAGATGTGAACTAAGAATAATTAGTAAGACAAGTTTTTAAGTCAGAAGAGGGTTTTATGGAGATTTTAGTAATTTAATAGTTAAATTCATTAGTCGATTGAAGCTAGATCATTATGGAAAACTTGGAAGTTAGACATTAACGCTGTTGGATGCCGGCTCAGTGGTCTAGAGGTTAAGGGTTCACACGCGTGACCAATAAGTCCTGAGTTCGAAGCCAACGGACGAGATCGTGGATGCGCACTGCTGAGGAGTCCCACACTTGGATGAAATGACCGTCCGATGCTTTCAGGTTTTCCATGGTGTTTTAGCTTCAATTGACTCATGAATTCAACTATTAAAGTTTGTAAATGTTTGAAATGACTAAGATTTTAAATTATATCAGAATTCAATCGTAGGTTAAATAACATTGCCAATTTATGGATAGGAATCAATTTAATTTATAGAAGCAGAAATAAGTAATAATATATTTAACGATAATATTACTTTCACTCGGTATTGTTGTACTTGAATCGTCTCGAAACGTGCGTCCTGGACTCCACTGCTAACCACTATTCATCTTTGTTTATAATACTTCATGTTATATAATCATAGAAAGCATTTTAAAACCTGCATAGATTATCAATTTTCATTATTTATCTTTCTATATAAACAAAATCCTGACTCATAAAATGAATATATACGTACATATATATTAATATTTATTCAGTCTATAATGATTTATGCATATAATGAATTCGTATTATAAACATACAAAAAATAATAATAATAAATACTGAAGACAGATAATCTGTCAGTGTCAATATTGCTCTATTTAGCATAGAACACGTATATCTATGTGTATATATATACCTAAATATAATAATTTGTCTTTATTGTATAACAAATTATGAATCTGTTTACATGATGTTGGGAAAAATTCATATTTAAAATAATTAGTCAAGTGTAAGTTTATTTCTTCTACCATACAATTGTTGATATGATTAGGTTAACTAGTTAAATACTGGAGTACGATTATTATTATTATTATTACCAGCTTTATTCAATATTATGTTTTTGGTACAATATAGAATTCTTGGCGTAAAGCATTTCAACAAGTTTCCGTTGCTTTCTTCTTGGTCGGTCCTGGCGATAAATATTGAGTGATCACCAGTTAGATGTTAGCAGTCCAGTAAATGAACATCTGAATAATGTGCATTCTTTTCGTTGTATATTGCCAGTAACCACATTATCTCTTATTGAGTTTTTTGTAACTTCGACAACGAAAGGTTGTACAATTTTCAGAAACACAGCAGAATAGGTTATGCGATTAATAAACATAACGATATATTAAAACAAACAAAAATAGATAACTTGTTGAAATATCTATATTGCAGGAACAGGTAGCCCAGATGCTCAAGCAGGTCGCCCTTTATTATGATTGATATTTACAGAATAGTTTAAAGAATAGTAGATTTTACTCTTAAAAGTTCAGAAAGATTCATGTAACAATAAATAGATCACAGAAAAATGTTTATTACTCTGTTTGTTATATGAATCTCTGATTTAGTTAATTTGATCATGATACCTTCGATGTTCTTTTTTGTGACAAACTTATGAACTTTAACTTTGGATAAAAGTGAGCTATAAGAATAATTCCACAAACGACTAGCAGTTTGTTTTATTGATGTTGAAGTTAATTGGTCATTGTTAATTCTTGTTCTGTAATCGGTTACACGTTGATTTTGGTTATTATGTTCTTTGATCTAATTTTTTTATGCTAATCAACTTAAAAAAATTAGATCAATATCAGTATATTTTTTGTTTGCTAAATGATTTGTGTCAAGCTTTTAGAAATCTCCTGGTTTTCTTTATGTTACTTCTGTTCAAGACTTTATCATTCTCTTAGTCGCATATGTACTCAAAGGTCTACATCCATTGATATAAAAAAAATCAATGTTGTGACCTATGATAGCTAATTTGTGTTCATATTAATGAAGATGAAGAGGGAGCTCACTGTATTCGATATTAGTGAGGTTAAACTAAAATTTGAGCGTGTTGTGACTTCATCAATTTATCTGTGTTGTTAGTTTATGCGAATGAAATTTACCCTCAATACATATTTTAACGATAATTTAAAAGTAAACCGAGTAATTTAGAAATTCTGCATGTAAGTTGAAACGAACATCTATAATACCATATTTACTATGTCTATTATGCTACGAAAGGTTGTAAAAGAGGCAAAATCCTTTAGATTTTGAAAATGACCATGTGTTACTATTTAAATGAGTGGTTGTATGGAAATAGTTTTATTTGACTTCATTTACACTACAGATTTATATCAACTGGTAAAACATTAAAACGAGACGAACTAAATACCTGTTCGATACTTTTTTATCTGAATCTTTGACAAGAAATATTTATAACCTGTAAGGCATTGGACTGATAAATTTCAGATGTAGTAAGGGGCGAGCTATCTAATGATCACTAAGTTAGAGTTCACTAATTTCCGTTTCCGACGTTGATCAAAACGTTAGGGAGTGACATCATCATCAACAACTATCTCATATTCCTTAGTTTTCAATTTTAGCTCAATTGATATTGATTTATGATTACAAAACAAAATGTTGCAATACTGTGATATTTACTTGCAGAGTCCCATTTTTTTTACCTAAACATAAAGTACTGAACAAGTGGTTGTTATTATTGTTGCTATTATTATTATCATTATTATTATTATTATTATTATTATTATTATTATTATTATTATTATTATTATTCGAATTCGATATTAATATAAGTTCACAAATTTTAACAATTGAAGTGTGTTTGAATGCTCGTAATGGTCTTAAGATCACTGGTAAGATTCATAATGTATATTGATACTATCATGATTTGAGATGCAACTGACTACTCTATTAACAAATATTTTATACCCTAAAAAATCATAATAAAATTTCTCTCATGAAGTAAATACTTTTCCATTAATATTTGTGATGAATCATTTTTGTTTTTGTGTGTACATATATAATAAAAACATAATCAACTACAAACCATTTTAATCTTAACTTAAAAAAGACCAACACATTTATACTGATGCACGAATAAACCAACCCATTAGGCGGAGGACTCCTTTTCAACGAGCTCAGTCACAGCCCTGTATAATCATATATATATATATATATATATATATATATATATATATCACATCGTAGGTTAACGAACTATTGTATGTAAGTTAGAGTTCAAACTATTCAGTAATATGAAGCAGATGTAGGATATTGAGGAGACCCCACTCCTTGACATTATTTACAAAATCTGTCATTACGAACTTTTCATGTTTCTTAAATTCCTCTCTTCAATAATTATTTGTTTAGGTAGAGGTAATTGTAAAGGTTTTGTAGTTCTCACAGTTTAACTCATGAAATAGTCATAGTTAAATGAACATTGGAAACATGGAAGCACTGGATAGCTGTTTCGTCCTAGTATGCGACTCCTTTACAGCACACGACCACGACAGTGAATTTGAGGATTAAAATTAACACTTTCGGTTTCATACACGAACACCTAACCTACAGACCTCTAGGATAGCGTGCAACAGTGTCAAAATCGGAGATGTGCACTGCTGAAGAGCCTTACACTGGGACGAAACGGTCATTCAGTGTCTTCAGGTTTTTAGTGGTATTTTAAATAAGATCAGTTTGTGGTTAAAACTACGAAAACTTTTTTATGTATGTAAAATTACTATGCAATCAAATTCCATGTGAAAAATAATCAAATTCTATTGAGTGTATCAAGTTATCGACCTTTACTTTCTCATACATATACTGTTATATAGTGTTGAAAATGAACTCGTCGACAAGTCCGTTGTTTCACAACATGTTATAAGATATTCTGCAAATAACAGACAATCGATTTAATTACAAAATAACAGTTGTGTGACAGAAATCGGTTTATGAATTAAGTAGAAATCATTGTAAATCACCATGTTTGCAATTATTTTTACAGTAAACATATTCAGTTATTAATCAGATATGAATTTGAGGTTGATTGCTTAATATTTAGATTTACCAAAATTCTCACCCAAAGATTGAACTAAGCTGTTAAGTTATTAATACAAAATGGAGATGTTATAGAGATGCAGTGAACAAGAACAATTCAAAATTACAGAACGACTTAGCGAAATCTGAGAACCATACAGTAAGTACTTCATTTGCAAAATGTCAATCAGTCGTCTCAAACTTGATTGTTTTTCGAAAATATCAGTCAATCATCTCAAACTTGATTGTTTTTTCGTTTCCACAGCAATCATTGTTTGTTTTTATTCTCTCTTCTTTGATCGTTTTAACCTTCTGCCTTCAGGTATTTCACTTTCGATTGATGATACATACTACTTATATCTGTCGAGATCACTAGCACACACATCAGTGAAGTACTTTTAAAAAACATGATAAGAGATACTCTCAAAATAAGATGTTCAGATTAAATTAGAATATTTTTTCGGCTTCTTACTGTTTTGTTTGTTTTAATGCATTTACCCCTTTTGATCCCGTGTCTCAACTTTTTCTAATGTATGCCGAAATAATTGTTACTTTCTTAGTGTGGATTATATAATTACAAAGTTAATACTTATCGTGTATCTCTTGTATTTGATCTGCATTTTAAAGAACACTGAAATTACTTCAAACCGTAGGTAAAGATTGAATTTTAATTACGGTGAGGACAGTCTATGGGTGAACTCCAAGAAGCTGTAAGGAGCTCAGAAAGAGCCGAAGATATTCCATCCAATCATTTTTTGGAAGAATATTCTTGAATCCCTACGTGTAGCCTCCCGTTTTGCACAATGCCAATAACCCCCTGTATATGGATTGAAGGACTATAATGGTGATTTTGTTTCTTACTACAAACTATAAACACCTGAGAATTTTGTACTATAATTGACACAGTCTGGAATAACATTCCTTTCATTCGTCTTCTGTCTTCTCATTGCAACTTTTAAAGGTTCTAGCATTTTAGTGCTCAAGTTATACGCGGTATATCAAGAATATAAGCTGTAGATATTACAAATACATTTTGTAATTTCACTTTCTGTCAATATTTCAGTATCATCAATTATTTCTCATATAATCCTAAATGAACATTTGAAATGATCTTTAACAATATAGTATGTTTATATAAGGTTAAATAACTGACTAAAAAGAGAAAATAATATTCTTACAATACTTTAGATATTCTATGAAGGAAAAATCAACTAATGGTAGACATCATTCAACGATTATTTTACTAAAATAAACAAACAAACAAACAAACAATCTGTCCATAAAATGAAATGAACAGTTTATTCATTATTTTTCTTTGAAACATTACCACATTTGAATTGAAGAAACGTAATAGAGATAAATTAAGTCATTTACAGGTCATATTCTTTTGATTTTTTTTATAGTTTATTTGTATAAATTAAGGTCAACTTATTATATTTAAGTTAACATTACTGTTTAGGTTTGTTGTTAAAGTCAATGTTCTGAAACTATTTAATGCTTTCTTGATGTAAATCTATAATTACAATTGATTGATCACTGGGTGGTGATCAATGTCTTGCTTGTCTAGTCCTTATTAGTGCAGATCGAATGCTATCGATCATGTTGCAATGTGGCCACCAGTCTAGGTGACTCGACACTGCTGACGAGTGCCAAATAGCACGAAACTCGGGTCCAGGGTTTCCTGTTGACTACCTCCAACCACCATCTAAATCTCAATACATAGTGCCCGCAGTGTCGAGTCACCTAGACTGGTGGCCACATTGCAACATGATCGATAGCATTCGATCTGCACTAATAAGGACTAGACAAGCAAGACATTGATCACCACCCAGTGATCAATCACTTGTAATTACATCTCAGTCCTACAGGAGGTTAGTCACGGCTCGGATAGCTCAGTGGTAACGTCTCTGACTGTGAAGCTGGGTGACACGAGATCGAATCCGCCAGGGAGCACCAGTTCCCTCAAGATTACAGGTACACCTTGCTGACGAGTGCCAAGTAGCCCGAAACCCGGGTCCAGGGTTTCCTGTTGACTACCTCCAACCACCATGTAAATTTATAATATTTGACTAGAACAAACTCATAGATTATGTAGTATTGATAAGTAATATTAGTAATTGTAAACTATTTTAACAGATCTGTAATTTTGATTAACTAAAGTTGAACTATTCACAAGCTTTTTTTAATAGGACTGAATATTTTTCATTACTTCTTTTATGGATGAATACTTAAGTGAATTCATATTACGCATAATGAAAGTACGTATCTGTAAAATATACAGCTTAATAGAAACCATTATACTTGTCTCAATGTGTGGTCTGATCGATAAAACAAATAATACAGAGTGTTATCAATATTTAACAGTTAGAAATAATGAAATGTTATCACCCTATTTTAATTTATCAGAAATGAAAACCTATGTGTTGATATGTCTTGAGAATTCGAAAACTATTCTGATTGGATTAATGAATATAAGAGTGAAATGACTGAAATTTTAAATTATCTCATAACTGAGATCGTTGAGAATCGGAGATACTGTTTTCAGCCTGATTATGAAGTGAACAAAATTCAACTATTAAATAGAATTCACTGTTAGACTGAATTACTTGACTTTGAAATGAAGATACAAAATTATGATTGGACAGTTAAATGTAATACATACCATTATTTGACAAATGAAATGAGGATTTAATAGCTTAATTACTTACTTACTTACTTACGCCTGTTACTCCCAATGGAGCATAGACCGCCGACCAGCATTCTCCAACCCACTCTGTCCTGGGCCTCCTTTTCTAATTCCATCCAATTCTTGTTCATTTTTCTCATGTCTATTTCCATTTCTCGGCGTAATGTGTTCTTTGGTCTTCCTCTTTTCCTTTGGCCTTGAGGATTCCATGTGAGGGCTTGTCTTGTGACGCAGTTGGGTGCTTTCCTCAATGTGTGTCCGACCCACTTCCAGCGCTTCTTCCTGATTTCTTCCTCCGCTGGGATCTGGTTTGTTCTCTCCCACAGTACGTTGTTGCTAATAGTGTCCGGCCAACGGATCTGAAGTATTTTGCGTAGACAACTGTTAATAAACACTTGTATCTTCTGGATGATGTCTTTCGTAGTTCTCCAGGTTTCCGCCCCATACAGTAGAACTGTCTTGACATTTGTATTGAAAATCCTGACCTTGGTGTTGGTTGACAGTTGCTTTGAGTTCCAGATGTTCCTCAGTTTTAAATATGCTGCTCTTGAATAGCTCAATTGGGTAATCTTAATGTTTTTGTTGAAAAAAAGAAGAATTAATTAGCCCTGGATACATAAGACAGTAAGTTAGTTCAAAAACTTTTAGATAATTTTCATCCCTTAATCAGCAAGCAGGTTAATTTTAAAAAATGAATACTACATGTTCCAGTAAATTTGCTTTATTTCCTTTTCTCTTCTTCAAATAATCAACGGATGAGATTTGAATATATGTAGAAGAGTTTTTTATTGAAGTCAAAATACAAACGGCATATCCAGAGACAATTCCAAGAAATCTTTAGATTACAATAAAACGTTATACTGTAGTTGATTGAACAAGAAACTGAAAGTTTAATCTTTATTCTGTTGTTGTTGCTGTATTCCAATTATTAGTTTTTTTCCCCTGTAAACAAGTACTATACCAACCATAATTACTTTAATGAGTGTCACTGAGTATGTTATTTGTCATTACATTGTCATTACTTCATTTGACATAGAAGCTACTGAATTCTAGGATATTTAGAATTGATTGATAAAGGTTTATGGTATAATTCAATGTAATCGAAAGTTTTTTCTTGTATTACATGTTTGTAGTGAACGGATTGTTGTGAGCAAATAAAGCTCATTGAATAACCGATTATCAAGAATGGAAAGTAATTTCCATAATATAGAAAAGATGAATGCGTTATCGAAGGAAATTATGAAGAATTATTTGAAATATGACGTATTACTTACCTGGATAGTATTTAGTTTCTTCGGGTGAATGACTAGGCTGTAAAACTTGTTCATCACTCTAAATATATTGTTAGAAATAAATTAAATCATAAGTAGGCGTCTTTTGATTTTACTGCAAATGTCACTTCAGCTTATAATATCGTAATATAAAGTGCAATTGTATTGAACGAGAACCCGAGTAGAGGACAGCTTAATGTATTCGCATACAACATTACAGAATATCTTGGTAAAATCTAAGATCCATACAGTAAATACATCGTTTACAAAATATCCTTCAATCGTTTCAAACTTTATTGTTTCTTTGTTTTCATACCAATCACTCTCTATTCTGGTTTTCTCAACTTTCTACTGCCAGGCATTCCACTTTTGATTGGTGATACATGCTACTTATATCTGACGACATCAGCAACACACCACACAATCTCTTGTTTTTAATAAATTTGACATATTAAAATTCATTTGAAGCTCCTACAAAATGATTAGTTAAGTTTTCAATGTAGTTTTATAATTTTTATCTTTGTTTAGTATATAAACTTTGTGTAAACAAGCTTAGTGGTTTTTTATTTTATACCTAATTAATTTTCAGAAGGCGTTTGTGGAGATTTTAGAGATTTCACAGATTGGAATAATGAGTCAATTGAAGCTATACCACCATGGAAAACCTGGAAGCACTGGACGGCCATTTCGTCCTAGTATGATACTCCTCAGTAGTGCTCATCCACGATCCCGCATTCCGCGAGATCCGAACCCAGGACCTATCAGTCTCGCGCCAGGCGCTTAACATCTAAACGACTGAGCCAGCATCCATTGGTGTTAATGTCTAACTTCAACCAATCCACGAAGTTGCGCTACCGTATACCATTGTCTTCAGTGAGTTGATATCTCACAACAGACCTGGTTGAACACCACTGGTAACGACTTCTCACTAGAACTCCAGGAGCATTTCTTGAAGTCAATCACTAGTGAGCAGATGATTATTATCGGAAGGGGGTTGTGGAGACTGATAGGTCCTAGGTTAGAATCTCGCGGGGTGTGGGATCGTGGATGTGCACTACTGAGGAGTTCCATACTAGGACGAAATGGCCGTCCAGTGCTTCCAGGTTTTCCATGGTGGTCTAGCTTCAATTGACTCATGATTTCAATCTGTGAAATACTTAATTAATTTGTTTGCAAAATGTTAATGCTGAACAAGTTATCATTTGAATTATGTCGATCTGTAAACAACTCACTAGAAATTATATAATTCGAGTGATTTGTTCTTAGATGATCTGTTTACTAGTTTTGAGAATGATATTATATTATGAGTTTTAGTTGATTGTTATTTAGATGATCAAGTTTATGGAACTATAAAATTTTTTTTGTAAACATATAGATAATCAAATATATGTCTTAGCTACTCTACCTATGAACTCAAGCATTGCTATAAAATGGATGTCAATTGGCTTATAATTTACATACATTTTCTGATCAGATAAGGTAATCAGTGTAATGAACAGTTTGTTTATGAGTTTATTTCAATTTTCTAAAAACTGAATAGTACTTCCTTAGAAATTAAACTAACGAGTTCATCTTAGTTCATTTTCATTATGATTAATGTTATACATATTGGATTATGGAATAAACTACCTAAGTAATTGGTGAAAAAAGAAAATCCAAATAATATAGTGTGAACTTAGTTGATTATCCACTTAATTAGTGAAATAATAAACAGATGAAAATGAACTCATTTTGTCAACTAGGTGAAATGATTCTCAAAAATAAAATAAAAAAATAAAACGAAAGAGAGTAGACTATTAATAAATATATAAAGAAAGAAAACCACTAAGAATTCACATGGAAGATTATATTTTAAAATTGTGTTGTTGTTTGTAGAGACTTGATGATAACTGGTCACCTACATGGAAAAAATTCTAATCTACTAAACTTAACAATAATAGATACAGTAGAGTCGTAGTTTTTTTTCTCTCTCTCTCCAGTAGATTAAGAATTATGCCATAGGTAATTGTAAATGAAATAATTTTAGCTTAGGAGTTAGAATATATTGTTATCTTTAATTTCAGAGTAAAATGTATAACTTGAATACTTATTGTCTTGTGTGTCAAACAAGAACCAAAAATGGTGAGAGGAATATTACAAGAAACTGTTGGTTAAAAATTAACATTGAGGTAGAGAAATGTAAAAAAAAACTAGTAAGTCATAATATTAGTGAATTGAATTGAAGTGCCGGGTTCGACAACATATAAAAAATTACAAATTAAGATGTAACAACGTTTAATTTCCACTTGGTTTTCAATTATATCTGTGAAAATGTTTGTCTGCAACAAAAATCACATATATCAATTGACCTAATGTTTATAAATCAACAGATAAAAATAGCAAAGATTAGATGGTGGTCAGAGGTAGTCAACAGGAAACCCTGGACCTAGGTTCCGTGATATCTGGCACTCGTCGGCAAGGTGTATCTATAATCTTGAGGGAACTGATGTTCCTTGACAGATTCGATTGCGTATCACACAGCTTCACAGTCAGAGATGTTACCACTGATCTGCCCAGGTCGCGACTGAAACCAAAGTACGGAGTTTTCTTTTGACTACCTCCAACCACCATTTCATCTCAATATAGTACAAATAATGTCGAAGTACTCAGAATGGTGGCTACATTGTTACTTAGTTGATAGGATTCAGTCTGCACTAAGAAAGACCTAATATACATGACATTCATCACATATTAGTGATCAATCAATTGTAAACGGCAAAGATTATTCAATGAAGAAACATGTTCACAATAATTTATAGTGAATATCATAAATTTTTTTACCTATTAGTAACAATTTATATCCGCAAAACACATAAAGCTCCCTAATCCTCTCTATATTTAAATATATTTTATAAATCTTGAAATATTTCTGTCATTTGCAATCTTAAAAATATGTGAACATTTATTAGCTAATAGTATTATTATCTTCTTCAGATCATTAATAAATCCATGTATATGAAAAATAGATTATGTATTTCTTGAAACCTGTACTCTTACTAAATACCGGATCAATGATTAATCCTAACATGATATCCAATACAATGTGCATTAGTTTTTAAAGAATTATCTTTCATATACACTAGGTAATTGTTGGGGAGCTTAGATCCCCAAAACTAACTTGGGAAAAAACCTTATTTTGTAATTTTATTTAGAAAATTTGAATTTCTTTGTTTTCGCGCCAAAGGCGCTCTTGTCACCTTCATGTCGTAATTCCCATTGGAAAGAATCTTAAGTGCTATTGGTCCGTTGCGTGTTTTAGTATGCTATTAGTAACTCTCCCCAAGGACGGTTTTGTACTGTATATATACGTTTTGAGTTGTGTTTGTTGTTATCGCTCGTTTATGGCTGTTTTGCAGAATAAATTTCTCATTCTAAGCTTGGACTTCCCCCTCTATTTAGCGGGACTAGGACGCATCAGTAGCTAGCTTATTGGTCCTTAGTCACTGAGTCTTGTTCTTGTTCTCAGACTAAGTGAACTCGTGATAGCTTCAAACCTAGCTGTAATGAACAATTAAGTATGAAACATTCATTAAAACTAAATTAATAAAAGTTATTCTAAAGAAAGTTATATATTCTTGATCCTTTTAAGAATAATGTGGAAACTTCTAGATGAATTACAACTAAATCTATGAAAAGTACAATTCATGGTGTATTATATGTTTACTTATTCGTTTACCATGTTTAATTTACATAATAAAAGCTTGATTATAACTTGAATAAATAAATATCTTCTATCATTTATAATTTATATAGTAGTTTATTTATTTCTGAATAAAAAAATAATTGAATTAATCACTTGTTGAACCAGTACTATTTTTTTTCTCCCTCCCTCTCTTTCTCTCCCTAATAAATGACTTCTGTCATTAAGGATCGATAATAACGTCCAATAAAAAGAAAAAAAAAACATAAACAAAATATATCCCTATCATCGATAGAAATATTTATCCCTTTAATAGAACTATAGAAATTGAGATCAAAATATCCGGTTTATTAAATTTTTCTACAATTAACAAATAAACAATAAAAAAAAGTAAAGTAGAGTTAAAATTGAAAAATTATTAATTATACCTGTATATTTCTATATTTGAAAAGAAAAAGAAAAGATTATAGTAGACATACTAATATGCATATGTATCCTATGCAAATATCTTTTGGAACTAATATGAAATAAGAACTAGAATAGAATTGGTATTATACTATATCCTATTTGAACGACTAATTTTCATATGTTATTTTAGATAAACAACATAAGATTTGGAGATGAAAAAAAATTTTTTAAGCCCTATTATCTAATATCAATTAGTGTTTTAATCCTAATTATCCAATAACTGATTATATCTAATTGATAAGTCTTGTTAATTTAAACGCTTTATTCGGTTCCTAAGCTATTCTGGTAACTTGCAAGTTAGAAATACGCAGAGACCTGAACTCGAGAGAGAAGGCGCAAAATAAGCGACAAAAACACTTTATTCCAAAAGTTCATTTTCGTACAAAAAACACGGGTATTTATAAATGTTAACATTTGTTAAATCAACATCATATTTTGGCCAATCCGCTAAAAGACATATTATGCTACTGACCAATAGTAGCACGCCACGTTGATATTCTAGAAAGCTTTATCATGCTTTGATTGGCTAGGACTCTTCGGGTCCTATAGGGCCTCTGGTGGTTCAGTTGCAGTTCATGGAAAACCGACTCAACACTAATTTCATTCAAACTAGACCACCATCGATAAGACACTGATTATTACTTTATAATTCGGTGTAAATATCATAGTCGTACAGTTGATTAGCCTTTACTCGAATCATTAACTCCAATTTAAATAAAATGTTTACATTTTCTAATAAAGTTCTTCTATTTACGGAGTTTTTATTAACCTTTTGTCCATCAAGATTTATTAATAAACTATAAAACACTATCAGCATTCACGATCAACTTGTTTACTTTAAATGATCACATTATATACAACCAAAACCAAAGTTCATGAGTATTATGTCACTAATATCACCATCTTCATCATTA